TCAGATCTCAAGGGGCACGAGGGCACATAGGGGAGAAGGCGCTCCTTCAGGTTTAGGGCTTTATAGGTCACCACCAGCACCTTAAATTGGGCCTGGACTTCTATTGGTAGCCAGTGTAACCAGTAGAAGACCAGAGTAATATGTGAGAACTGGTTATATCACCCTACAGACATCATGAAAGCATAAGGATCACTCATTGTGAACTTTACCCGATTTCTTACCCAGAAGAGAAGCACACAAAGCAGATCGAAAAGAAACTTTGGACCTGCACGAGCCCCCGTGTCTCTGTGTATACATATCAGTCGCTTCTCCTGCCCTGGGAAATCAACAGCTTCTGGGACGGAGGACATCCACGCCTGAATAATGAAGAGAGACAGAGAGAAAGAGGACCACTGTCCAATTTGGAACTGAACCCATGGAGAGAGATGATTCAGCAGGTTAAACTGTAATAATTTTCTTAGCCTGCTTTGGCCAGAAAAGCTTTGATTCACACCACCTCTGGTGTGCAGGGTGGTACAAATCAGGCATATTTACGGTCCCCCCCCCCACACACACACACACTCTTCCTCCTTGCAACTTACCAATTTTTTCTCTTTTCCTTTTTCTTAAGGCAGGGGCTATTTATCTCTGTCACACGGCAGACATAAACAGAACTGATTAAAGCTATGATTGGGGCATATCCAAGAAGCATAAATAGCACTTGGGGTGTGTGGAAAGCAATGTGCAGGCGAGAGACTTACATACACACAACTACGCACACTCCAGCCCTTGGGAGTAGCACAGGGACTCTATCCAGCAAGGACTGTAAATAGCATTACCCAAAGCAAATGCGCACGAACGGAATGAACGCAGCCGGTGGGTGCGATGAGCTGCACCAGTATCGTGTGTGGTATGAACACCATCCGGTTCTTTGTATCAGCTTGAGTCGCCATGAAAAATGGAGGGCCCAGAAGCAACGTGACGTGAAGTTTTAGCATCCCACTGACAAGACAGTAGGGTGGCTTTGCGATGGGGAAGGAACGGCCGCCTTGGCAAAGCCATACGTTCCCTGAATAATATATATCAGATGCAGGGCTATCGCTGATAGAGTTTCCTGGGAGCTCAGCTCTCCTGGCTTATTTGCCTTTCAAATCAACTCGCGTCTTCCCAGGAGCTGGGGAGAGCGAGAGCAGTATTCATTGGAGTTTAGCTTGAGCATTATGTACTTGTCGGACAAGCTGGCACAGCGATGTTGGAAGTTGTAGGCCGACATGTCGGGAGGGCACCCGGTTGGGGGAAGGATGAATCGCTGCCAGATCGCAGCACCTAGGCAACTGGGATGCACTGGAGCAGAACCAGTTGGGTGGGACCGGGAGCGGCCGTGTGTGCCAAAACAGGCAGGGCTCAAGGTTTGAGGCAACGAACAGGGAGGAGGAGCTTAGCAACAAGACTGGCAGGTAAGCGCGCTTGACAGATGGGGATTGGCCCTTGGGAATCAGCTGACAGATTGCCTGAGTGGGCCAATTTTGCTGGCACTGAAGCACATGGCTCGGGCTGCCAGATAGTTTGCGCCAGAAATGGAGGGCAGCCTTCCCCAGCCTGGTGCTTTTCTAAAGCTTTGGACTACAACTCCCAGAATTCCCGACCACTGGCTCTGCTGGTTGAGTTTCATGGGAATTAGGTCCAATACATCTGGAAGGCACCCTGTTGGGGGAGGCTGGACTGGGGGATGCTCTGCTACTGAGGGCAAAGAGTCCCTCCGAATCAGACCGAAGGTCTACCTAGTCCACCGTTTCGTTCACATGGTGGCACACCAGACGCCTGAACGGGAAGCTCACAAGCAGGACGTGAGTGCAATGGTAGCCCATGTTCCCCAGCTCATACTGGGGAACATGGTGCTCATACTGGCTCTGGTTGCCCCTTCCAGATGTCCCTCCTGCCCCCTGGAGGTGGCCTGTGCGGTCTTTGTCCCGCTGCTGCAGCTGCTAGCAGCTCTTTCTCCAAACTGTATTTTGCAGATTCAGTCTCATCCCCAGGGAAACGAGCTGTTTTAAGAGCTAAAACAAGATGCAGATTTTTCCCCATTAAAAACCCCCCTCCAGATTCCAGACTCCAAGAAGTTGGTATTTATTAGCACATTCTCTTTGTCAAGTGCAGTGCGGCTTGAGGGACTTTTGCGAGAAATGTTCTCCATCATATTTCCTAATCTGAGCGTCAAGGAGACTGTTGCTTTGGGCCCTTAAATGCCATTGCCCCATGGACCACTCCCAGGTTGACCTGCTGTTTCTAGAACAGTGCTTTCCTGCAGCTGCCTCTGCAGAGGGAGCCACTTGATACCTTCCAAATTGGGATCCAGCTCCTCCTCCCACTTCCACGGCCATGTCTTTAGGGTGGTGGCGGCAGCAATGTTCTCCAAATTAGGATCCAGCTCCCCCGTCCACTTCCACGGCCACGTCTTTAGGGTGGTGGTAGCAATGTCCTCCAGGTTTGGCCCAGCTCTTGGGCCCCTCCCTCGGTGCATCGGCCTTCTGGCTGCGGTTGCTCCCCGCCCTATTTCGCAGCATTGCTTGTCCCTTGGCAAGGAGAGCCAGAAGGCAGGCCAGCAGGGGCTTCCACCGCTTCTCCTTCACATCTCCACCAGCGCCTGGGTCCAAGTGAGCAGCAGGTTCACCGCAGGCTGCAGTGGCAAGTCCCGCAGAGGCTTCTCCGGGGAGCCCCGCTGGGCCACAGGCACAGGTCTTGCCTCTCCCCAGCGCCACCAGCGCGCGTTGTGTCCCAGTGAGCTTGCTTTCCAGCTTTCAGCACATGGCTGGACTGGGATTTGGGAGGTCTCGGTTGTAGACTCTGCTTGTCACTGGGTGACTTCAGGACAGGGGCTCAGCTTCACCTGCCACAGAGGGTGCTGCTTGCAAGGAGAGGAGGAGAACCTCAGCCCCTGCCATGGGTTTCTTGCAAGGGGGACAAAGGCAAGGTATAAATACAGTATGGTAGCAATCCTTATCATGCTGGCCAATCAAGGCCCCGCTTCAGGGCCAGCGTGTCACTGGCTTCCTTTGCCCACTGAAGAGCAGCTGCATCCGTGTACAGGAGGAGCTTGGGTTCAACTTTGGCCTCTAGCGAGAGCATTCTGCACACTGAACAAGAAAAAGATCTCTTCTTGCTGAGGCCAGAGTGTAGGACCTGGAATAATCCAATCAAGTTGCAAAAACCCAGAGTCAGGCTGGGCATCAGGAAAAGCTTCCTCACTGTCAGAGCAATACAGCAGTGGAACCAGCTGCCCGGAGAGGTGGGGGGCTCTCCCACACTGGGGAGATTCAGAAAGAAACTGGGCAGCCACCTGAGTGGGATGGTGTGACTTGGTGTCCTGCAACAGCAGGGGGTGGACCCGATGGCCTTCATGGCCCCTTCCAACTCGACTCTTCCACGATTCTATGACCATTGTGTGAAAAGCAGGATTACAGCTCATGGAACAGAGTTTCTTTTCAGAAGGCCCTTGCTTGATCTCTAGAGATGCCCCTTTTTCCTCCCTTTCAGAGAAGCTGTCGTTTGATTTTGGTAGCCATTCACATATACATACTCCCTTTTTCTCCCCCTCTCCCGGCTCAGTCATGTCGCACTCCAAGGTTGCCCAGCTGTGTGACAGCAAAATAACAGCCTACCCTCTCCTGACCTTCCAGGCTATCACTGCACATCTGGGAGCTGTTACACACCTGGCATTCTCCAGATGTGTTGGGACCACAACTCCTGCAATTCCAACACATCTGAGGGAGCCAGCTTGGAAACACAGCATTATGCAAAACAAGGCAGGACTTCAGGCAGCTTGGACTGGGTCTGTTTTATTGCCTCTCCCTGCAACCTAAACAAACTCTCTACATGCTGAAACGCTGTGCAGAAAGGCAAACGCAGCCCTCTCCGATTAGGTTACTGCAAAGATTTTCTGTGTGTGTGTGTGTGTGTGTGTGCGCGCGCGCGCGCGCGCGCGCTTTAACAACACCATGCCTCCAAAGGGGTGGCCGTTGCTCCCTTGCACAGAACCTGACATGGCCCTTCCCAGCTTCCTGTCCACCTTGGACAACACCCTTGTTCTGCATCACATGCAAAGGGGGTCTTACTTCTCCAAGAAAATCTAAAGAAGGTACCCAAAGGGAGAGCAGGGAGAGGGTCGCTATCACCTGTTCTGCATGCAGAGGATCTGCGAACTGCGTAAGCCCACCGCCCGCGTCTGCTGGCGCAGCTAAGAAGCACGGTCATTTGTACGTGTCTCACCTCTGCATCCAGGACTTCATTAATGCAGCTGCTTCTCCTCCTGATGCATGAGCAGAATATGAAGCAAGCCCTCCCTGCTCTCCAGGTTCAGGGGCTACAGCTCTCAGGGTAACTGGGGGAGCCAGGCCTCGCGGCACGGGGGCTACATAGCTGTAGGAGGTTACGGAACTGGTGACCTCCAAGCTGCCACCCGCTTCTCATTCCAGGGCATTTCACAAGATCATCTGGAAAAGGATATTAGCATGTTCCCAACTCTTTTCTTCCTCCCGTGGGTAGGCAGCAAACCCTAAAAAGAGGCAGGCTGGGTCAAGCATGAGGCTTCAGATGGGGAGAGTTGCCTCCCAGCCTGATCTTCAGTAATTATTGTTTTATTTATTTGATTTATATGCTGCCACTCCATCCATAGGCTTTCTGGGCAGCTGAAATCTTTGCCACTGAACTTGGGGAATGAGTTCAGTCAAGTCTCTGGTTCCTTCTAAGCTGATGTGGGGTGGACCAACACCAAGCCCTGCGTTTCCTACCTCTCCCCTTTTCTCTAATATAGCCTAAAAAGCCAACAATATTTAACTATATTTATTTATATAAATAGATATTATACATGGCTATAGCAAAAAAGAGGTGGGAAGCCTCTGCTTAAGTTGATCCTTATCGGCACATGGATTCCCCCCAAAAGGTGATGTGATCCCTCACTATCTTCAGTCTCTAATGCCTCCTCTTCTCGCCTTTTTGCCTCTTCCCCCTCCTCCCTCCTGCAGGTGAAAGGTAGGATGGTGGCGGGAGAGCTGAGCATGTATAGCCCAATCCTGGCCTGCTGGCAGCCGATTCTCATCTTGATGCTGGGCTCCATCCTCTCAGGCTCCGCGACGGGCTGCCCGCCCCGCTGTGACTGTTCCGCCCAGGAGCGCTCCGTGCTCTGCCACCGGAAGCGGTTCATGACGGTCCCGGAGGGCATCCCCACGGAGACCAAGCTCCTGGACCTGGGCAAGAACCGCATCAAGACTCTCAACCAGGATGAGTTTGCCAATTTTCCTCATTTGGAGGAACTGGAGTTAAACGAGAACATTATCAGTACCATTGAGCCAGGGGCTTTCAACAACCTCTTCAACCTCAGGACTCTAGGCCTCAGGAGCAACCGGCTCAAGCTCATCCCCCTCGGGGTGTTTACTGGACTCAGCAACCTTACCAGGTTGGACCTTAGTGAGAACAAAATTGTGATTCTCCTGGATTACATGTTCCAGGACTTGTACAACCTCAAGTCTTTGGAGGTTGGGGACAACGACTTGGTCTTTATCTCCCACCGGGCCTTTAGTGGCCTCAACAGCTTAGAGCAGCTGACGCTGGAGAAATGCAATCTGACCACGATCCCCACGGATGCTCTCTCTCACTTGCATGGCTTGATTGTGCTGCAGCTGCGCCACCTGAACATCAATGCCATCAAGGATTACTCATTTAAGAGGCTCTACAGACTCAAGACCCTTGAGATTTCCCACTGGCCCTATCTAGACACCATGATGCCCAACTGCCTGTATGGGCTCAACTTGACCTCCTTGTCCATCACCCACTGCAACCTGACTTCCATCCCTTATGTCTCCTTGAGGCACTTGGTTTATCTCAGGTTCCTGAACCTTTCCTACAACCCCATTGCCACCATCGAAGGATCCATGCTTCACGACCTGCTCAGGCTTCAGGAGATTCAGTTGGTCGGTGGCCAGCTCACAGTGGTGGAACCCTACGCCTTCCGGGGCCTGAACTACTTGCGTATCCTGAACGTTTCGGGGAACCTCCTGAACACCTTGGAAGAATCAGCCTTCCACTCCGTGGGAAACCTGGAGACGCTCATCATCGACAACAACCCTTTGGCCTGCGACTGCCGCCTCCTTTGGATTTTCCGTCGTCGCTGGAGACTCAACTTTAACAAGCGGCAGCCCACCTGCGCCACCCCTGAATTTGTCCAAGGGAAAGAGTTCAAGGATTTCTCCGAGGCGCTTCTTCCCAACTACTTCATCTGCCACAGATCCCGGATCCAGAACCGCAAGCCCCAGCAGATCTTCGTGGATGAGGGCCACACCGTGCAGTTTGTCTGCCGTGCAGATGGAGACCCGCCCCCCACCATCATGTGGCTCTCCCCAAGGAAGCACCTCATCTCCACCAAGACCAACGGGCGGCTCACCGTCTTCCCTGATGGCACGCTGGAGGTCCGCTACGCCCAGATCCAGGACAATGGCACCTACCTATGCATCGCCAGTAACGCCGGCGGCAACGACACCATGCTGGTGCACCTGCACGTCCGCAGCTACTCCCCCGACTGGCCGCACCAGCCCAACAAGACCTTTGCGTTCATCTCCAACCAGCCCAACGAGAGCGACGCCAACAGCACGCGTGCCACCGTGCCTTTCCCCTTCGACATCAAGACCCTCATCATCGCCACCACCATGGGCTTCATCTCCTTCCTGGGCGTCGTGCTCTTCTGCCTCGTGCTCCTCTTTCTTTGGAGTCGGGGCAAGGGCAACACCAAGCACAACATCGAGATCGAGTACGTCCCACGCAAGTCCGACGCGGGCATCAGCTCAGCTGCCGACGCACCGCGCAAGTTCAACATGAAAATGATCTGAGGAGCGGGGGGCGGGCGATGGACAACATTCAGTAAAGAGGGGTGGTGTCTTGTTTGGTTTTTTAAAATGAAGTTTAATAAATAAGAGAAGCAGCTCAAGAAGCATACCCACCTCTCTTCTCTCCAGCTGGCTCCCTTCCCTCCGTTTGGTCCCCCAGAATCCCGCATCACTTCCTCCTCGTCCTCTTTGTGAAAATGTTCTGCCGACGTCTCCAGGACTTCTCATGTTTGTAGGACATATTCTGACAGACTCCGGCATCGTCCTAACAATGACAGGAAATTAAAAACAACAATCAATAAAAAAAAGTTACAAACTTCCTCTGTAACTTTGATTTCAATAATTATGGATTTTTATGAAAACTTGAAATAATAAAAAAACTATTTCCTATAGCTAGTTGGAATGCAACATCTTGACTTCTTGATCTGTCCACTTCCTTTTCTGACTCTTGATTGCTTTTTCTTTTTAAGTCATAATGATGATGATGATGATGATGATGATGATGATGATGATCATGGGGCTTCTTAAAGGAAGCAGTTGCTGATTGTTTTAGACACAAAGGGACTCACCTGTCTAGCAAGGATGTGTTACCTTTCCAAATCACCAAGGAGATTGGCTTTCATTTCTCACACAAATTGGGCTATCGACTCTGGCTTCTTCCCCCTGAAAGGTTTATTTTTCCTCAATGTGAGGATCTGAGAATGAAGGAGACTATTCTGTCTATACAGAATGATTCTCTCCTCTCTTGTCAGAGAAGCCCCATTTTTCAGCAGCTTATTTGGCTTTTTGTGCCCTGCTTTTCAGACTCTTCTGGGCCAGAATAAATCCTTTGGAGAGTGGCCATCTGCATTGCATGCCAACAGTCCCGGGTTCGATCCATGGCATCTCCAGCTAAGAGGACTAGAAATCAGGGGAAGAGAAAAATGCCCTCTCAGAGACCCTGGAGGGTCACACCCGGGCAGGAGAGACTAAACCTCCCCAACCTGGTGCTGCCAAGAGATTTGGACTACAGTTTCCAAGATTCCTGTTCACTGGCCATGCTTGCTGGGGCTAATGGGAGCTGAATTCCAAAACATCTGGGGGGCACTAGGTTAGAGACAGCTCCATGCATTTTCCTGAAGGAAATTCAGAGGTATAGAAACCTTGCAAGTCAGAAGGGGCCTCCTGAGCCATCTAGTCTGACCCCTGGCTCCAGCTGATTCCACTCATGTAATCCCCAGCATGTGGTTGTCCAACCTTTCCTTGAATGCTCTCACTGATGGGGCCTCCACCACCTCCCTTGGAAGCCCATTCCCTATCCTAGGGGTCCTAACCATCAGGAAGTGTTTCCTGACATCCAACCTGAAACCCAGATGGGATTTCTGGAATGTCTAAGATCTATATCACAGAGCATACAACGTATCCCAGAAAAGGCAGCATGACACACAAGCAAGAATTGTTATTCTCCGTGTACCCACAAAGTAAGCCCCAGCCTTGTAGTCTTATGCATGTTTACTTAGAAGTTAATCTCACAAAATTAAGCAGTAGTGACACCTGAGTAAATATAGCCCTGTAGTGACTGCCGCTTGAGCTCTCCATAACCACCAGGTAAGTGGGTACAGGCTTGCAGCTGTAATAAAGATCCAAGAAGCTCAAGGACGCATCCAAAGTCCAATACGGTATGGAGGAAACACACACTTGAAAAGCAGCCACTGCCTCCCGTTCTTGCAGCATCCTTAGCGGTAGACTGGAACCTGCTGTATTCTAGGGATGGTGGTGCATCACACATCTACATTCTCACCAACCCACATAACAACCCCTTTTATCAGCAAGTCATTCAGTTCTCTCCCCCAGGCAGTGGTTCACTCAACCTGGTGACCTCTCCCCTCGGGAAGCAAAGGGTTAAAAAAGACCCAGGGCTTTTCCGGTACATTTTTCTCCATCAGCCCTGGCCGCCTTCTGCATGTCAGGCTTGCAGTGCCAGGAAGAGCCCTGCTAGCTATGAATGACTCAGCCTCCTCCGAACACGATGCTTGCGAAAACGAGGCAGGGACTGCTTTGCGGTCCCCATTGATAAAAGCAGCCGCATTCTCCAAAGTGAAATCATAACTCATGTTTAAAAGTACCTGGAGAATGCACAGACCACACCAGAGCCCTGAAATTTCCACAGTGCATGATAAACTCCGCGACAGATGCCCTTGACTTGAGGAGAAGCTCGTCTCGTTCATGAGCACTATCTAGAGCCCTCGGTGCGCATTTCTTCCGGGAGCTAAAACGGGATTTTTCTGCAGGAAGACTGTCAGCTTCTGTGGGGGTGTTATGGTACTACTTCTCTCTGAGGCGTTTATTTTGGATAACAGAACCTTAAGTGAAACAAAATGCCAACAGACCAGGGCAGGTGATCTCCTGAGCTCTCCAGGTGTGCCTAACAGCTTTTTGCAGGACCATTCCCATTCCCCTGACAGACCATCCCCAAAGCTAAAGCCACCACTGAAAAGTTACTGTCTTTAATTCCTACGCACCTACGCTCTGAAGGCAAGGGCAACCAGAGCAGGGACTCTGCTTCCTTGGTTCCCAATCCAGTGTTCCCTGGATCACTTCCTTTACCCCAATCAGCAGTCACTTTGTGATCTTTCAGCTTGCCTGCATCCTACCTGCAAACATTCCTTCCTCAGGCATGTCATGAGCGGAGCCGGCTGGAGCCAGGGGTCAGACTAGATGGCCCAGGAGACCCCTTCTGACTCGCTCTGTTTCTATGTTTCTATGAAATCCCTCTCCGAAGGCTTAGTTAGTGGTAGTAACAGCTTTAAGTCCAAATACTCTGCTGTTTTTGGTATTTTGGCACTAGCCGTTGTGTTTTCACAGCAGAGGTTGAGGTGGCTGGATGGGGTCACTGGGGTGGTGGGTGTGGGGCTGACTCCAGGAGATGGTGGAGGACAGGAGAACTGGAGGAATGTTGTCCATGGGGCTGCAAAGAGTCAGGCGCGACTTTACAACTGAACAACAACAAAATTTTGTTTTCAGCTCCACCATCCCTAGAACATAGCTTCTGAGATCTTCTCTCAAATTGAATTCACCCCTCAGGATGGAAGACACACAACAGCCCCACTTTAGGTGAAAGATTATATTGGATGTAACATTCTATTCTAGCCTATCGTGTTTCTCTCTTAGAATGGAAATGGGAGAAGAGGGAAGCTTTCAGGATTCCTGCAATCTGTCTGCCTAACACCCTCTGTTTTTATTCATCGTTCCGTTTTTTTCTGAATTTATGGTTTACGAAACGCTACACGGAGCCCAGCATTTATGACCACCAGCATGGTAGGAAGGGGAGAAGCTTTGGGACTAAGAAATATCACTTATCACAGGATCCCACACTGGATGAGGAAGGGAAGGATCGGCCGATCTCTTCCTGGATGTATTACGCATCAACTGAGCCAGTGTCTGTAGGCTGGACAAGAGGTTTTCATAAGCCCGAAAGGCACTTAAAAGATCTAGTTGTCACTGGCATATGTGAACTGGCATTATGGATTAAATTGATTCCAGATTATCTTAAAAGAATCAAGGACTGGGTTGTTGCAACACAACTCTTTACACAGAATGGAGTTACCACAAAACATTCCTACATCATGGAAAGGGGAAGGGATAGTACATGCTACTTCAGGAGGGTTGTGTAGAAAGGAAAGATTTGGGGGAAAAGCACATACGAAACACATACTAATGTTGAAAGAGACAGCCTGGCCATAAATACTCATGAAAGTCATTGGTTTTCATGGGACTTTCAATTAAAACTTGCAGGCAAAAGATTCTCATGTTAATTTGGGTGCAACTCACTCCTTTGCCTCTGCTAGGAGATGGTACCATCTGGGATGGACATATTTGCAAGCAATTTTTCTCATCTAAGGCGTCTTTTGAACATTATTTCCCCTAATATATGCACTTCTGAATGATGTTTTTTAATTGAAGACCTTCATTACAAAATTTGTAGTGGTCTGACTTTCAAAGGATAGTTTTGAAAGTCAGTCTGCTATGAGTTTTGGGGCCACACAGTGGTTCAAAGCTGCACAATTAAGCATGTTTGCATTACAAATGCAAACCAAACGACCTTTCTTCATCCTGGCAAAGGACAGCTTTGCATGCAGGGGGCCATCAATGTTCGGGGAGCAGGGCTGGAACGCCGGCCCAGTGGTAATTTGCATAAATTGGCATGCATGAATTTACACCAGTATTATTACATTCATATCCTGCCTTTTCTCTTCTTAAGAGGAACCCTTAGAAGGCTCTCCTTCTCTCCCTGTTATTCCCCAACAACAACAACCCTGTGAAGTAGGCTAGACTAAGAGTCTGTGACTGGCCCAAAGGCCTCCAGAAAGCTTCATGACCGAGCGGGGACTAGAACTCCCATCTCCCACATCTGTGCACAAGACTCGTAACCCCTACGACCCACAGACTCGCCATTCGGCTCCTACTCAATTATCTGCCCTTTCGGTTGACCAATCGCAAAACTAAAGCGAAAATAAGAAGCCTCTTGAGGTGCTAATGCTCACACCCATTGAAAAATATAGGGCCCCTGAAGCCTACAGCCCACAGTTCTCCATGGAGATGGTCCCTACATCTGGCCAAGGGGAGCAAGCAAACGGAGTGCCCAGGAATCCAGTTCTGCACTGTTTCCTCTTCTGAAAAGAGTCTGGCGTTCCTCTTTATGTTAGATCTGTTGATTTCGGGAAGTGACGGCGAACCTTTCAGAGACCAAGTGCCCACACGGCAACCCAAAACCCACTTATTTATCACGAAGTTCCAACACTAAAATGAAACTTGAAAAATGTGGTTTTGGTTTAGAAAAAACAGCTCACAGCCAGTCCAAGCAAATATCTATCTAATCCGTCCGTCCATCCATCCTTGGAGGCGCACTGACCAGCCACACGAAATCTCAGAGGAGCTGAAGCCAATGAGACACGGTTTGCGACATCACTGCCTGGCACTGCTACAAATTTCCAAGCAAGAGCATGGTCCCTATGTGCGTTGTT